GAAGGGATTCTTTCAGTGCAGTAGTAGTTGTAGCGGTCATAGAAGCTGCTATGCTAATAATTTAACTGGAGCTCATTAAATGAAGGATATTTGTTCTAAACAGCAGTTTTGATGACTGTAGAACTTTTGTGTGGTGGAAAAGGTCTGGACAACTGGAACCTAACATTTCTGAAATTTTTTTGTTAGTTTTTGAACAGCGTAAACTTAGGACTAAAGTTTTCTGTTTGACGAAAACTTTCCTATTTGAACGGATTTACATGAAATATATAACATGCGTTTTATGCTACCTGAGTTTTCAGCGGTAAAAAGAAAAAATGCTTTTCACGCATTCAATCCAAATACTAATTCTCCCCCACATTTGTTAGGTACCTGGACATGTGCTGCAAAAAAATTACATAACAAATTCAGGTACTACCTTTAATAACGTGCTTGACTCCAAATTGCACGCTGATAACAACTCTTACAGATAATCTCTGATAAAAAGGGCAAACGTCCTGTATTCATTTCTTGCAGTCTCGAAGTCTGTCTTCATCACTTTAAAATTTTTGCACGCCCCATTCTTAAAAATGACACTGTTCCGCCAAACTGGAGAGCAGTTTCACCAACTAAGTGTAAAAAAATCCCGAGCAATCGTGTCCGAATGTTTCTTCTAACGGCTGAAATAAGAATTCACTGTAAGTCCTCCAATTTTATTGGTATCAGAAGTAAGGATTTTTGAGTTACGATGAGTTGAAATTGATTGAGCCAAACTTCCCAACCCGTCCCTCAGAAGACTTATCGAAATGAGCAAGTTCAGTGTTACAATTGGAGGATATTGTCCCCTTCGTCAATACACTTTGGACATCAACCTACCCCTGAAGTTGCCAAACAACGGTTCATCAGCCAGATGTAATCTTAAACAAATGCTGTCGGGTTTTCAGCTTATTTGGGAAGAAGAAGAGTTTAAGAAATGCTCTTCTACCTCCCAGCAGAGTATTTTTTTCTCGTTCTCTGCGAGGTGCTTGTTTGGGTACAATCAAATTGAAGAAAAATGTACTCATTTGTTTGA